CTCCTGATAATGCAGCTCATGCAACTCTCCAGCCACCAACCCCGCCTTGTGTCAGCAGGTCACCAGGTTTCGTTTTATTCTCATTATTTATCACAATTTGAAAGTATCCTATTCTCTCTCTCTCTCTCTGGCTCTCGATCTCTCCATCTATCTATCTATCTATCTATCTATCTATCTATCTATCTATCTATCTATCATCTATCTATCTATCTATCTATCTATCCATCTGTTCCCTCATCTAGTCCTCACTGCTGTTTCCTGTATGGCTACCTGGTGGGGTAGGCAAAACAAATTGAGATTTTTTTTGTCTGATTAATATCTCCAAACAAACTTGTAAAAAACCCCAAAACTAAAGAATTTTAGAAGTGTTTTTTACAAATAAGGAACAAGTTGCTATAGTTTCTAATTATGGATCAACTATTACCTTGTTGAAAGATGAAAGGTTACGTTTTCTGGTGATGAACTTCTTTAGATGTAAGACTGTTAGCTGGTCTGTTTCCATTGCATTCCCCACGGTTTGCTGCCACTGTATTCCAGACAGATGCTCACCTACTCATCACTCCTTTGATCATCAATCACTGTCCTCTCTTGCTTCTCTTCTGAGGTCTCTTTGAACTGTCATCTGCTTTGGTTTTGCCATTTGGATGGGAACATAAGTGTTGTTTTGCAGAACAAGTCTCCCCCTTGATGTCTCTAGGTACTTCCACGCCCAATTTGTGATAGAATTTCCTCTGTGTTTTCATTTCCGATTCTTGGAGGGCTGGTCCCAATTTGTAAACAATATCTGGCATGGTTCTGTCATGATCAGCGTACTGCAGTGGGTGGCTCTGACAGAGCACAGTCCTACATGAAGGGCAGGTGTTATTCTTTTCCAAATGCATTACCAGGAAGACCCTACAGACCGTGGCCAGGTGCTCTGTCACCGTGGTGGCATTGATGAGGTCCTAGCTGCACGGGCAGCAGGTGATGCAGGCGTTAGTGTCCCACAGCTGAATCTTCCTGGTCAACATCTTTGGCTTCTCCTCTAGATGTCTGTCTGGTTGTCCTTCCTTCTGCGCTGGCCTGGAGGCCTCGGATTACTACTCTGACTTGGCGATTCCTCCTCACTTCTGGTTCACTCCTGCATCTTCCTCCTGGCCCTTGTACTTTTTCCATTTTTTAGAACAGAAGTGGGCACTTGTGAATGACAGCCGGGAGTCCCTGCTATGTTGTGCAGCTGTGGACCAGGGGTGCCCTCAGGGCCACGCTGAGAGAGGGATGGGGCGCCACTCCCTCCATATCCCTCCTCCCAAAAAGAGGAGGAGAAAAAAAACCTGTCCCAAGTTTAAAACAAAGAGTTGGAAATCCTCGAATAGTTTCGTGGGTCCCTGATAGTTTTCTCCATAAAGAGATGGGGTAAATCCTATTACCCCATCATTTTTCCTCTGTCTGACCTCCTCCTCAGCTTCTCTTTAATTAGAGTCCCTGGTCTGTCTTTCTAATTACTCCTTCTCGCACAGTCGGCACCCTGCCTTGCCCTGTCTGCATGCCCCACGCTCCAGAGAGAGCTCCACTACTAAAACTTGCTGCTGGTTAAATCTCTCTGCCTACTCACCTCTCCGCCCATGCACCCAGGCCCATGAACATGGCTGGAGGAAAACACACCACCGTCTTAACAGGTCTCACTTTAACTACATGATGTCACATCTCAAGTGGGCCCGTAGGGCCGCCTGGCAGTCCTACCACATCTCCCCCGAAAATTCACTCGCCCACTCTCCAGGATGACTATTTCACACTTTCTCCTCTCGCCTCAAGCCACCAACATTTCTCTTTTCCTTTCCAGCTTTTTATTTGACTGAGAATATAAAAGAAATATGAAGACAGCTCTCACGTATTCCCACCATCAAATCTGCCCACTTGCCTGCGCCAGAGCCCGTTGTCCCTCCTCCCCTGTTGCAGGGGCGGCTGTGTCGGAGCCAGCCTGTGCGCGGGATCCCGTCCTCTCAGTAACTGAGGAAGCCAGCCTGGTACAGTGTCTGCTGTGTGCCAGGCTTAGTTCTAAGAGCCGCTTACAGTAACTGATGTAATCCTGACAGCAGCCCTGTGCGGTGGGGATGATACCAGTTTTACAGACGAGGAAGCTGAGACACAGCACAGTCCAGCACCGTGTCCCAAATCACACCGCTGTGGTAACTGTAGTAAATTCCTACAGCTCCGGAGCCCACGTGTGCAGCTACTCTGCCATACCCTGTCTCCCTGGATATTGCTCCAGCAGCCTCTCTTCTCTCCAGCATGGTCAATTGTCCCTCCCCACCAGGTCTTACCCATCAACTTATGAGCAAGTTCTAGTGTCTCCTATTTTAAGAATCTACCCCTGACCCCATCTCTCTCTCCAGCTATACCTTAAGGTCCCTGTTCTCCTTTTCCGCCAAATTTCTGGTAAGATTTTCTATATTTGCTGTATCTTCTTCTTTTCTAATTTTCTTTTGAACCACTCCAACCTGGCTTTTGTCCCTGTCATTCTTTGGAAACAACTTTTGTCTAGGTCACCGATGTCAAAGCCAGAGAGACAATCATAGTCTCCCAGACCCTCTGAAATGCTTCCTTCGTTTGCCTTCCCTGACCCTGCTTGCTTCTTGGTTCTTCTCCTGCCAGTGGTCACTCCGCTGTGTACTTGGCAGGATCTCCCCCTGCTGGCCACCCTCTGAATGGCAGGTTGCCTGGGGTGTGGGCTGGACCACTAGCCTTTCTACCTACACTCAGCCACTGGATGATCTCAGCCAGTCTCAAGGCTTTAAATAATATTTATAAGTTGATAACTCCAAAATTTTTATCTCCGACTCTGACCTTCCCTAGATTTCCAACATTTCCATTTGGCCATCACACAGTTACTGTATCTCAAATAAAACTCTTGATTTCTCTCTTTATCATTTAGTTTCCATTTTCAATAATGTGGGATCTTCCTCCCAAATCTCACATCATCGTTACCAGCAGGGACTCCATCTTCATGTTACACCCCAGACCTGACGACCTCTCTCCTCTTCCAGGACTACACCCTAGTCCAAAGCACCAGCATCTAGTCTCTATTTTTAAAATTGCCTCCTGATGAATCTTCCTGTTTTGTCTCTTCCTCTGATATAGCCTATTCTCCATCCTGGAGCCAGAGTCATTTTTAAAAATCAGATCTGGCCTGTACCTCATTCCCTATACTCTCTCTGTCCCTGCCTGCCCCCCCAGCCCAGTCTTCTTAGCTGTTTTTTTCGGCATATTATGGGGATACAGATTTTAAGGTTTCAATAAATGCCCATTTCCCTCCCTCCCCCCACAAGTCTGAGTCTCCATCATGACCATCCCCCAGATGGTGTACATCTCACTCATTATGTATGTATATACCCGCCCCCCTCCCCCCTCCCACCTGCCCAATACCCTATTACTATAGTACCTATGTGACCACTTAGGTGCTGCTCAGTTAATACCAATTTGCTAGTGAGTATATGTGGTGCTTGTTTTTCCATTCTTGGGAAACTTCACTTAATAGTACTTAGCTGTTTTTTGAACACAGCAAATACACACCTACCTCAAGTCTTTGCCCTTGCTTTTTTCCCCTCTTTTGGGAATGTTCTTGCTATAGATATTGACCTAAATTAAACAAGAGAATTTGTTATTTTGGTATGGTCTCTGGTCGAACTTTACCTAATCAGAAACGCTTGCCTTAATCTCCCTGTTTAAAGTAGCAGCACCTGGCATTTTCTGTCTTCTTGCCAGTTATAATCAGAGTGTAATGTTGTCTGTCTGTTGGTATATCTATTTGGCTGCTATGTGTCTCCCTGAGTGGCCTATGGGCTCCACAAAGGCACACACATTCTTTTCTATCCCCCAGTGCCTAGAACAGTGACCATGAGGGGTTCAATACATATTTGTTGTATTTTTGGAACAGTGACAACTATTAATCCTATAAAGTTAAAGTACATATATGAATAAAAAGAGATTAGAAGTACTATCTTTTTTAAAAGTTAAAAAACCTCTAAATTATAGAGGAAAGGGGGTATGTGTGGAGAAAGTTGTGTAGAAGCAAGAAAGGAGTCTCAAAATTCTTGCATGGCTGCGGATGTCCTTCCTCCCTTCTCTTCTCTACTGTGTGCTGAGGTTCCCTGTTGCAGTCACTGCTGGGTTGAAAACCAAGGGGAAAGACCAAAGAAAAGGCCTTCCATGAACTTAGTAAGCTTTCATCTGGGGCTTCAGGCGTGCATCCATGGTGATGATGGGGCCTTGAAATATTCCTAGGAAGTTAAAAGTGGAGAAGCAAAATGAAATTGGGGATCCTATGTTCCTTAAATCCACTACACCTGAAGCATGGAAAATGACAAGTTGTAAATGTTAACTCTTATGATGATAATGATAATTTTTTCATGTGTTGCTTTTCTGGATAATACTCCATTTCCCGATTCTTTTAGATTTGGATTGAGAATGTTGATGCAATTTTTTCCCGTCTTTTGGATCATTTCTCTATAGGAGAACAGGATCCAAGAATGAATTTATGTATTTCTTACTTATGAGTTTTACTCACTGGTATAGAAAAATAGGAAAAAATGCTAAAATAATAAATTCTTTTCTTTATATTAGGAGATATAAAGGGATTAGAACAGCTCCTTTTAAGTTCTGTTAGTGTGTTTTCTGATAAACCTTTAGTGACCTCCAGAAAACAGGAAAGGGATGTTTCCTACCTTGTAGTAAATATAAATGACTTTAATAACAACTCCTATTACTTGAACTTTGACTCCCAGTAAATATAATGCATGATGCATATCTGCCATAACTGTGGTTCTGAAAGCTTAAAATATAGGATATATAGCAGGCACATAATCCTGCAAAGCTCACATTGTCTGACTTGGTTGTAAAAATTTATTTTAAAAGGCCAAACATGATTATTTTATAGTCTGGATCATTTCAAAGGATCCATTTGTTTAATTGTGCACTCATTGTATGTCTTCATGTTTCTCTTTGATTTCTTTTTTGCCTAGAGGGAGAAGAAGATGAGGATGAAGAGGATGAAGAAGATGAAGACGAAGAAGAGGAAGATGAGGAAGAAGATGAGGAGGATAAAGATGCAGACTCCCTGGATGAGGGCTTGGATGGTGACACTGAGCTGCCAGGGTTCACTGTCCCTGGTGTCACGTCCCAAGAACCTGACTTAGAGCAGGGAAACATGGGCCTGTTAGAGGGAGCCACCTACCAGGTGCCAGATGCCATCGAGTGGGAACAGCAGAATCAAGGCCTGGGTAAGAGTCATGTGTGTTTCCTTTTCCCTCCTCTCGCACTTCCTTTCATTTTTCTCTAAGGTGACAGCCTTCTTTCATTGGCATCTATTGTGGAGCAGAACGGATTTTCTTTTCTTTCTTTCTTTCTTTTCTTTTTTTTTTTTTCCAGCCTGGTCTTGTTGCTTGGGCTGGAGTACAGGGGTGTGATCATAGCTCACTGTAGCCTCCAATTCCTAGTGCTCAGGCAATTCTGCCTGAGCTTCCCGAATAGCTGGGACTACAGGTGTGCATCATTGTGCCCAGCTACTTTTTAAAAGTTTTGTAGAGACGGGGTCTCACTATGTTGCTCAGGCTGGTCTTGAACTCCTGGGCTCAAGTGATCTTTCTGCCTCGGCCTCCCAGAGTGCTGGGTTTACAGGTGTGAGACACTGGGCCCAGCCCCACATGGATTTTCTATACTTATGGGTGGTTCGTTTGGGAAAAAGTTATCCATTATTTCTTTCATAAGTTTATATTCATGCTCTTATATAGCTAGGCTTCAAACAGTTTTCTACTGCCCATAACGAGCATGGTTGCCTGATTTTTGGAAGGAATTCTGTTTTTGCTTCCCAGCCAGAGGACAGTTGTAGGCTTCAGAGGGACTTCCAAATGGGAAGGAGATGTGTGTCCTCAGTACGTTAAACCAGCAGCATGAGTGGACTGGAGTCAGAAAACAAATGCATCTCGTCCCACTCTGTCCTCTTAGAATTTATCCCTGGGGGAAGTTCTTCCCCTGCTTCTAGGTGAGCAGTTGGGCAGTCCCATGACTTTTCTCCTTGCTGTTATGGCTGCATTACCTTGTCAAACACAATCTCTTTTCAGCAGCCAGAGTGTCCAGATCATCTCATGCTCATTCCCCCTTGTGCACAGCCTGCCTTCAAGGTGAGAGACTCCAAGGATGCAGGCTGACCCCCAACTCGGCTCTCCTGTCCTTGTCAGCAGGGAAGCCCCCAGGCTGCCCCTCCCTGCTTGGCAGGGGGAGGCTCTGTTAACCTCGGAGTGACTCCTTGAAGCCCCACTCTCTTGGCCTGACTGAAGTGACCTCTTCTTCAAAGAAATCCCCTCTCTAAAATTCTCTTAGTCTTTAACAGCTGGACCTATTTATACCTTTAGGTTTAAGAGTCAGGTAAACTGCTAAAAAGACCAGTTTTGGGGGTATTTCATTGAAATTTGGAAGCTGGTCTGGGACTTTGCTCTGGATATAATTATGGGATTATCACCCTATAGGTTGGTGCAAAGGTTGTAGTTGCAGTGTAGCTGGGATTTCCTGTGAAATATGCATATAACAAGGGGGGAAGACAATAATGGATGGGCTTCCAGTGGACAGACAATATTTGCTCAATTATTTTCTGGTCAAATTCAGCATATATAGGGCAATGATTACTTTAAAAACATGTCAAATACAAGTGATAAAAGCTTATAAAGGTATAAAAATATAATAATATCAAAATGTTATAAAACAAACACAAACTAATATGAACACTGGTCTGTGAACAAGTTAACAAATATTTAGTCTGAAATGCTTCTGTTCTACATGAACTGGTTTGAAGTGAATGAAATAAAATACAAAATACAAAGATAACTTTTTATCGAGCAGGTGAAAAACAAAGAAAAAAATCTATACATAAAGTGACTTACCAGATGGTGGCTTTATAATATGGAAGTATCATGTACAGTTAGTCTTTTTAGTATGGAGAGCATGAATATTCAGAGATACCAGCACTTTCCTGGAGAGAGGAGCAAGGGGGAGAGGGTTGTCTTTGTATAGAAGTAGGGAGGTCATATGGTGTGTACCCCTGGATTGTGGTCAAAGAAACCAACTTTCACCACGCATGAAGTTGGCTTCCATCTATAAATACTTAGAAGCAATTGGAGGGACTGTGGATCTTAGAAAAGATAGGCTGGAATATGGATAGGCTGGAATGGTCATTTGGGCTGTGGTCATATGCTTCTCAATACAAATTTACCACTGCATAGAAGTCAGATTTTTAAGGAATCAACTTTATTGAGGTATGTATCATATACAGTAAACTACATCCACTGAAAGCATCCAGTTCAATAATTTTGACAGTTATACCCATGCAACCTCCTTTGCAATCACAATGCAAAACATTTCCATTACCCCAGACCCAGTGACTCCTCCTGTCCTGGCCCTCAGCCCCGGGTAACCAGTCATCTGCTTTTGTCACTGTAGATTAGTATGCATTTTCTAGAATTTTATACAGATGAAATCACATGTATATATGGATACAGATGGAATCATATGGTATATACCTTTTCATGTCTGGCTTCTTCCACTAGCATAATGATTTTAAGATTCAACTATGTTGTTGTATACATCAGTAATTTGTTCCTTGTTATATGCAATATATATGTATATATGCATAGCTGGGTAGTATTCAATTGTAAGGATGCATCGCTTTTTGTTTATCTAGTCACCTGTTGATGAACATTTGGGTTGTTGCCAGTTTTTGCCTGATAGCAGTTAAATGTTAAGGCTTGTCAGACTTGAGGCTCAGGACAAATAGCTCTGTTGTCCTCCTGTCCTGCCTCCTGGCTTCAGTTCCCATGCATAGCTAAAGTTTCTTAAATTAGTGATACTAACTCAGTGATTTGCTATGCTTTTAAAGGTGATTTTCCCAGGTCCTGAGATTTTTTTAATACCAGATTTTTTTTCCTATTATAATAATTTACCATTTTCCTAGGTGTCTCTTACCTTTTTCTGTCACTTCTTTTCCTGATATATTTATTTTGTCAACGTGTTTCTAGCATTGTGGGTTTCCTGGGAATCAAAGCAAGAACAGATGTTTCAAACTGTTCTTTTTCCTGTTGTGGGAAAACTGGGTTTGAGTAGTGTCTGGGTCTAGAATTTTATAACTCACCAACCTTTTCCTGGAAGGACAGGAGTATCTCAAAATCAATAACTTCTTTTTTTATTTTTTTGAGACAGAGTCTTGCTTTGTTGCCCAGGTTAGAGTGAGTGCCGTGGCGTCAGCCTAGCTCACAGCAACCTCAAACTCCTGGGCGCAAGCAATCCTGCTGCCTCAGCCTCTTGAGTAGCTCAGACTACAGGCATGCACCTCCATGCCTGGCTAATTTTTTCTATATATATTAGTTGCCCAATTAATTTCTTTCTATTTATAGTAGAGACAGGGTCTCGCTCTTGCTCAGGCTGGTTTTGAACTCCTGACCTCGAGCAATCTGCCCGCCTCGGCCTTCCAGAGTGCTAGGATTACAGGCATGAGCCACCGTGCCCAGCCTCAAAATCAGTAACTTCTGAATCAATATTAATTGATACAGTTTCCTAAATACTCTCAGGTCACATGAAATAGTGCAAAATCTACCCTATTTGTGGTGGATTTTGTGGTAGGGAGAATACTGGCTCCACCCAAGGGGTCCTTGTCCTAATCTCTGGAACCTGTGAATAAATTACCTTACATGATAAAAGGGACTTTGCTGACTTCATTAATTAAGAGTCTTGAGGTGGGTGTGGGGCACTTATAACTGTAATCTCAGCACTTTGGGAGGCTGAGGAGAGAGGATCACTTGAGGCTAGGAGTTGGAGACCAGTGTGGGAACATAGTGAGACCCCATCTCTACAACAAATAAAAAAATTATTGGGGCATGGTAGTGCACAGCTATAGTCCCAGCTACTTAGGAGGTCGTGGCTGGAGGATCGCTTGAGCTGTGATCGTGCCACTACACTCCAGCCTGGACAATAAAGTGAGACCCTGTCTCAAAAAAGAAAACTTTAGATGGGAATGGGGAGATTATGCTGGATTATCTGAGTGAGCCCAGTGTAATCACAAAGGTTCTCATGGAGGAAGTAGGAGGGTCAGAGTCAGAGAAGGAGATATAATGACGAAAGCAGAGGTTGAAGTGATGTGGCTATGAGACAAGAAATGCTGATACCCTAGAGGCTGGAAAAAAAAAAAAAAGGAAATGGATTCTTTCCTAGAGCCTCTAGAAGGAATGCAGCCCTGCCAACATCTGGATTCTAGCTCAGTGAGACCCATTTCAGACTTTTGACCTCCAGAATTATAAATCAATAAAGTTGTGGTGTTTTAAGCCCTAAGTTTGTGGTAATTTATTCCAGCATCTATGGGAAACAGACACAGATTTCAATAAGTATTTAATGAGCAGCAGCATTTTGAAAGGAGAGCTGCGTGGCAGCTATACTCAGAGTGTAAGTGTCATAAAATTAAGTATAGTTTTTTCATAATGAATCAATAAAAATGCAGACACTGAGATCCTTCAAAAATCTGATTTAATATAATAACACTTTAATTGACCATCCTCTTTGTTTCTATTTTTAAATAGGTTACTTTATTTATATATTATCATCTCCAATTTTATAATATGAATGGCATTCCAAAGCAAATGCTAAAAGCCGTATAAATTTTTAAAAATGAACAGATTGAGTTGGGTAGTGGGCTAAAAATAATGCAAAGTCTTTGAATAGATTATAGTCTCATTTCCTGTGAAATAACAAGAGCAGAAAACATAGATGACTTTCTAAGGCAAAGCAGTAGATTCATGGCCTCAAATTGTCTGAGCTTCTGTTTTCGCATATGTCATGTATGCGTTGCTTCCAGAGCTTTGGAGGGAGAGAGCTTAGTCTCTTGATCTCGTTGTAGGGAAGTGAGCGTGACTATGGAGTGAATTGTCTGTTGTCAGGATAGAGGGAATAAGGAGTGAAAGTTCCACATTTTGATTGCGGTGGATTGACTGATTGGTAAAATGCTAGTAGCATATAGGACGCTGTCTATCTGCATATGCAGAATCACTTTCTTTCCCCATCTAACAAGTTAGTTTGAAAATTTATTGACAAGAATCTGTACAGAGAGCAGACACTGTGACCCATACCACTTCTTATCCCATAAATCACACAGTTTATCCTCTTTTTTTTTTTTGAGACAGAGTCTCACTTTGTTGCCCAAGGCTGGAGTGAGTGCTGTGGCGTCAGCCTGGCTCACAGCAAC